ATTATTATTATTATTATTATTATTATTATTATTATTATTATTATTATTATCCCATGCCTATTAATGAACTTCCCAACGTAGATAACCTATCACAACACATCTTATACACTCTCATTTCACATACCAACAGAAAAGTGGCAAGAGCATGGGATAACATCAAACAAATAACAAGGACCAACAGCCTATGCTGAAGTTAAGAGTGGTTCGAATTTTTCAAGAACTAATGAATACTCTTCCTACAAGAACATCCTTGAAATGTCTTGCATGACAAATCACAATCAAAATTAATAACTAATTTTTCTCATATTTTGCCCTAATTCTTATATTATCTTTTTTTTACAGAGAGGTCGAATTTCAAAGAAGAAGTAACAACATTTTCTATTGTTAGGATGACAGGTGATTAAAATCTGGTATCTATGTACAGTCAGTGGGTTACCGAGAAAGAAGTAAGTTTAATAAACAAAAACATAATCATGTTGATTTATAAACAATGATTAAATTCAAGAACTTATAACTTTTTCTATAAAATTTTACAGGAGCCTAACTTCTTGACTTTACTACAACGTGAAGAGGCTAACAACGGCAAGGTCAATGTTCGTTTTTCACACTTATTATTTTTCTTTAAAATTGTAAATTTATTTCATAGAAATAATCATATACAATTTAAATACTAAAATTTTTATTTTGCAAATTGTTTCATAGGGCTGCACTGGAGAAGATGAAGTTTCAACACCTTTAAATCTCTCAAATATAAAGAGAAGGTCGACAACACTTCTAATGCAAGGCAAAGGTGGACGAGCAAATGATGAAATGAAGGACAATTTTGATGAAGAATTGATTTGATAAGATATTATTGGTTTACTAATGTATTTTATTATAATATTAGGATTTTATTTTCTTTGAATACTTTCATTGAATAAATTGGCTTCGACAACATGAATAATTTAGGTTTTAATTTTGGAGTTCAGTTTGTTTGATTTTATATTTGGATATTATTGGTTATTAATGATATTAATTTTTATGGCTAATGTTGTACCACATTTTTTATGTATCTAATTATATTAATGTTTAATACATAACACTGGTAATCGAAATAAATGAAATTATAAATAAAAACATTGGAAATTCATTTTTTTTTCTTTTTTTTTTTAACTTTTTTTGTTTAATATAGATGTTAAAAGTTAAGTAAATTATAGTAAACATTTATCACTTTATTTTTTTCTTAAATAAAACAAAATCAAACCTATACAATTGAACAAATGAATTAATTTAATACATTTTTTTGTCTTCCAATGTTTAAGTTAATAATATAACCACGCAGAACTAACTGTATGATTTTGTAATAATTAAAATTTCCGAACAATATACAGTGTATAAAATAAATAATTTAGAAATTAATTGTAAATATTAAAGCCCCATACATAAAAAAAATAACAATATTTCTTTATGTTGTAATTTTTTTCATGGAAGAGTTGATTATGAAACGTAATAATGGAATAAATAATATCAACACCTCACATTACTCAAGTAATTATAAGAAATAAAATTCAAGTAAATAATCTATACATAATAAAAAGAGCAGTTGGGGTACATAACTCTAGCATTATAAAAAATAAAAAAAAAAAATAAAACAATTATTTAAAATTTTAAAACATAACATAATTTAAAACTTTTTTATCATCAAAATGGTAAGAGTTTGGGATTGATAGAGTCAACAACAAAACAACACTTTGTGGTTATCCAAACAACTAATATAATACTAACACATGTTAAATACACATGTAAACAAATATGACAGTTCTCCATATGGTTTCTTACGCCACGACTATAAAAAAGAGACAAGGACAATCCTTATCTCATGTTGACTTATTTGTTAAGAAACCAGTGTTCAATCATGACCAGTTATATGTTGCTGACTATGAACAAGAGACATGGACAATCATTATCTCATGTTGGCTTATTTCTTAAGAAAACAGTGTTCAGTCATGACCAATTATATATTGTTGTCTTCTGTGTCACTAATCGAAAAGGTTTGAAAATGTTTATTTGTGGGTAAGATGATATGCCAAAGAATCAAACCAATAATGTTGTATATAGAGAAGTGTTCAATAATATATGATATTTTTAATTTAATTATATGTTTATATGTCTAATTTTATGATCATTGCATTATTACCCAATTTATATACAAAATTTTCTTCTAAAAAACACATAGATTATAATT